CTTGGGTCCTACAAATTAGTGTTAGAAGTTACTCCTTCCCGTTCTCTGCCTCCAAAGTCCTGAACACCAATGGATTTAGATTTCGAATATCAACGGCCTACCAAATACCGGGGGTCGGAGGCGAGCTTATAACAGACAGACGGGAACCTCCTGAGAGCGGCCCCGCCTGCTGAGCCTAAGCGCCCAGGGAACCGGCTGGATATCAGCGCCGAGGTCCGCAGCGTGGGGCCCACACGACAACCACGACGCGGTTCTTGCGGAGCAAAATCCCCGGGCCCGTCTCAGGGGCCAGTCCCAGGAGAGGAGGGAGTCCAGTTGATTGCGGAGCAGGGGATGGAGACGGCAGCAGAAGGAGCGGAGTCAGCTCTCTCGATCTCACGGGAGGCCGTGCACCGGAGGGGGAGGCCACCGTGCTCCCCGAGCCCGGAGGGAAGCGCCCGGCTCCAGATACTTGGGGCGGGGCTCCTCTGGCCCCAGAACCAGGCCGGCCAGCAGGGAGTGGGGGCGACGGAGGACAGGCCCCCGGGAGTTCGGGGCCTGGCTGGGATCTTACCATGGTGAGTGCGGTGGTGGGGCGCAGCCGCGCTCCGGCTCCACGGGGCTAGAGCTGGGGTAAGGGGAAGGGGAACACCGGCCTCTCTGGACCTGCTGCCCCCCTGCCAGGAGCCGCTGCCGCTTCGCTTCTTGCCAAGATGGCGGCCCTGAGCCACGTCTCCAGCCGGAAACGGCGTGGGTCAAAGGGCAGGGGGCGTGGCCCGTGCGGTGGGGAAATTGTGAGTTCTGGGCTGCCGAGCCGGCTTTGTGCACGCCGGGTAGGGGGCTGGCCCCCAGTTGTGGAGCCTTGTACTTGTGTTCTTTCACTGTCGTCGTTTTCCTTTATATTGCGTCACCTCGTACAGTTTATAAAGCCGCTCTCACAGCCAGTAGATTATTTATAATATGAAATAACCCATGTGCATAATGGACTAGTATCTAGAATATATAAAGAATTCTTAAAACTCGACATTAAAAAGACAAATAATCTAATCTAAAAATAGAAAAAGCATTTCAAGAGATATTTCTCCAAAGAAGATATATAAATGGTGGGTAAACGCATAAAAAATGTTTAACATCCTTAGTCATTAGGGAAATGTAAATCAAAACCGTGGTGAGATACCACTTCACAACCACTAGGATGACTATAGTGTTGGCAAACGTGGAGAAATTAGAACAGTCGCTGGTGGGAATGTAAAATAGTGCAGCCTCTTTGGAAAACAGTTTATCAAAAAGTTAAACGTAAAGTTACCATATGACAGCAATTTGACTAGTAGGTATACCTCCAAGAGAACTGAAAATATATGTTAACACAAAAATTTGTACTCTAATGTTCATAGCAGCATTATTCACAGTAGCCCCAAAGTGGAAACAATCCAAATTCATTCATCAGTATGCGAATGGATAAACAAAAGTGGTATATCCATGATATGGAATGTTATTAAGCCATAGAAAAGGAATGAAGTACTCATACATGCTACAATGTGGATGAACCCTGAAAATATTAGGTGAAAGAAGCATGATACAAGGCCACATCTTAGGTGATTCCATTTATATGTAATGTCCAGAATAGGCAAATCCACAGAGAAAGAAAGTGCATTAGTGGTTTTGACTGGCTCAGGAAGGGGAGGAATGGAGAGTGACTGCCAATAGGTGTGAGGTTTATTTTTGGAATAATTAAAATGTTCTGGAATCAGATACAGATGAATATACTAAAAACCACTGAACTGTTAACTTTAAAAGGGTGAATTTTTATGATTTGTAAGTTATATCTTTCAAAAAAAACCCCATGCGCAAGAAGCAGGGCAATTATTGTGCCTATGTCCGTTTGAATATGAATAAAATAATGACAAGTTTAAGCAATTCACCCAAAGTTTCTAGACCAGTATATAATGGAAACAGGACTCAAATCTGGTCTCCAACCCAGAAGAGGGGATAGTGAGAGGCTAGATAATGGATACAAAACAGCTAGATACGAAAAATAAGTTCTATTGGTGTACAGTTGATCTAGGCATCTATAATTAACAATAATTTACTGCATGTTATCGAATGGCTATAAGAGGAAAGATCCAATGCCATCATTACAGAGTAATGATGAATATGCTAATTATTGTGCTTTTATCATGACACATTATATACATGTATTGAAACATAACTCTGTATCCCATAAATATGTATAATCAATACGTTTCAATTTTTAAAAATCTAGTCTTCTGATTTTCTTGGTAGCTCTTCCATGCCAAATTCCAGACTTTTCAAGGTATAATTGATTCAGCTGTTCTTTCCTATATAATTTTATCATTTTATCCCAAATTGGCTCAACCCTACAGCACTCGACCATATTAAATCTATGCTGCAATTAACAGCACTTTTTACTGAGTGCTAATTTTGTGTCAGGTACTTTACACATGTTATTGCTAATCCTTTACAACAATCCAGATAAAGACACACAACAATCCAGATAAAGACACGGAGGATCAAAGCAGTTAAGCACTTGCCCAAACTCACACAGCCAGTACGTGCTAGAGCCAGGATTCAAAGCCAGCTTTTCTCATTATAACACACTGCCTCTCTACATCTCCTGTGTATTTATTCCTAATGTTTATTGGACACTTACAAGGTACCAAACATTACTCTAACTTCTTCACACAGATTATCTCATTTAATCCTCACAAGAATTCCCTGAGGTAGGTACCATTATTACCTACATTTTACCCATGAGGAAACCAAGGTACAGAGAAGAAAACTGTCCTACCAAAGGTCTCATGGCTAGAAAAGAGAAAAGCCAGGATTCAAACAAAGGCTGCTGAACCTTCAAACCTCCATTCTTAAGCATTGCATTATAGACTTCTCACTCCTACCCATATCAATTCCATCTCCAATTACCTTCTAATAGAATCTCTAGAAAGCTTGGGTATTTTTAAACTCTGCATGTATGGAGGGCTATATGTCAAACTGTATTTTTAATATTTATTACAAAAAGCACACATTTTAAGAAAGACGAACAAATTCTTATTTTCAAAAAAAGCAAAAATCCTATTTGGAATTACTGCCTTTTTGTGGCACCTTCTAGGGCCACCAACATGGACCTCAGAAACTCAGCAAAGACCAATTGGTGCTGATTCTTTGGAAACTTGACATTAGCTGAATTAAACTGCAGAAGAAAAAGCTTCCCTGCAAGCATGTTTCACAAGGAGTGTCTTAGAGGCAGTGTATCATACTGGCTAAGAGCAGAGACTTGGGAATCAGATTGATGTGTATCCAAATCCTGTTTCTAGCCCTTACTAGCTGGGTGATTTTAGGAAAGTTACTTTAATTCTCTGATTTTTTTTTTTTTTTTTTTTCCAATTGGCCAGTACAGGGTACTTCAATTCTATAAGCCTCAATTACCTAGTATGTAAATTGGCAGTAACATTTATACCATAAGGTTGTGAAGTTAGATAATACAAAACACATTAGATTATATAATTTAAGTTCTCCTACATTGTTAAGTGCTCAACAGTACTTACACATTATTATTTTTTAATTTTTTAAAGATGACCGGTAAGGGGATCTTAACCCTTGTCTTGGTGTTGTCAGCACCACGCTCAGCCAGTGAGCGAACCGGTCATCCCTATATAGGATCCGAACCCGTGGCCTTGGTGTTATCAGCACCACACTCTCCCGAGTGAACCACAGGCCGGCCCAGTACTTACATATTATTACAAGCAATAACAGGTATAAAAATTTTAAAAATGTGTGCAGTTCCATTTTTAACTTGTCTCTCATTTCCCAAGCCACATTCTTTGTTTTCCTTCAGCAGGTTTTCAGGGTTAAATTTCCAATATTCTTTTCTGTTTCTCTATACGTGACTTCCAATATTAATTATGTCTATAGTTTAAAAATATTTGTTTAAAAGTATTATTTCCATTCATTCATTCCTTGATTAATCCACCCAACAAGCATTTTTATTTTTTTATTTTTATTTATTTATTTTTGATGAAAAAATTGTACATTTGTAATTAACCATCTGGACTCAGTTTAGATGGTTCCAATTTTGTTGACAACATCCAAAGCATCATAATCAGGAGCCAGTCGAACATATGCTTTCTTCTCTCCATCAGGCCTGATCGGGTGTTGACCTTGGCCACATCAATGTCACAGAGCTTCTTCACAGCCTGCTTGATCGGGTGCTTATTGGCCTTGACATACACAATGAACACAACTGTCTTGTTGTCTTCTATCTTCTTCACGGCTGACCAACAAGTATTTTTAAAGTGCCTGATTTACGCAACGTACTGACTCTACGAAGAGTTAAAAATTTTTTAGACACAAGACTCTGCCTTAAGGAAGCTCACAGTCTTCTTTCACAAATAAAAGTACAAGACACAGTTAAATTTGAATCTCAGATAAACAAGGAATAGTTAGTGTAAGTATATCCCATGCAATGGGACACCGTGGAGGGGAAGGACTATAATGTAAAGGACGTACAAAGTGCTGGGGAATATTCCCTGGCGTGTGTGTCTAAATGCTGATCAAGTTGATCCAGGGGGAATTGCATGCCCGATTATCCTTGTCCTAGGGTGAAAAAACGAACACCCTGTTTCCAGATTGGAGGGCTAACTTGAATACGAGCCAAAACTCATCAGCCAGCTCTGCCACCCGCGGCCACTAGATGCCGCAACAGACGCATTTACTGAAACCATAGACACACAGGCGCCTGCCGGCCCAGAGAGGCGTTATCTAAGACACCCCCCACCCCCACCCC